GTGAGAAGTGTGGCCTGGTCAAAGGTTGTCAGTATTGCTTATAAATATCAATATTCTCCGGACTCCTGCCATACTCAGGGAGTTATTTACTAAAACTGGAGCCTGCAAAATCTGGTGCAGCTCTGCATAGAAACCTATCAGGTTCCTTTTTTTTTGCCAACGCATAATTGAACAAGATGAAGTTAGAAGCTGATTAGTTACTATGCACAGCTGCACCAGATTCTGAGCGCTCCAGTTGTAGTAAATCTCCATCTTAGTGGCCAATTGGGGCATCCGATCACAAGCATCTTCAAGTTCACTCTTATACAAGAGAATACAGTTAGCGGCCCTTCTGCTGGTGACCTAAACCTTCCCCATTTGTAGCTTCAGTAAAGATATATGTCCAAATACTTTATGAACTCAATGAAATATGTCAGCTAACCAATCATTGAGGTGATGCGACTCTTTCTCTTGCAGGCAGAAAGGGTTGATTGATCTGCCCGGTGATGGAATGAAAGAGTCTGCTTGGGGCTTGTGTAGCCGTATACTGCAAAGCTTTGAAAACAGTAGATGTACTCCTCTTAAGACACTACTGAATCGTCTCATCTGGGAAGCTATTATAGACCTGAGTTTGGAACTATTTATGCCAAATATACCACAAATATGTTTGTTTTTATCCTGATCTAATTTATGTATCCCCATCCATTGCCCTATGTCGGTATAGCAAAGTAACAGCCTTAACAGTCATTACAAGTTTCCTGAGGCAGACTTGATTTGCAGAAGAAAAGAGGGAGCGTGTCAGACCAGAACTGTTAATTAGTGCTATATGAAAACTCATGGAGCGCTGCTCCAAGCACCACCCTTAATTAGTCCGGTGACTCTCCACCTCTCCCCCCCTTGCTGTGTAAGCAGGTGCTTACAAGTGTTGTGTAGATAAGGATGACTTTTTTTCGGTTTCTGTATGTGATATTGGAAATGCTATACTAGGTAAAGCACTTGGTGTGTGTAACATGTTACTGGCAACCCTGCTGTTACTCTGTGAATGTCTATTTCACTGTTCTCTGTACAGTATTGTGTTAGAGCACGGGTCTCCAAACCTTTCAAACAAAGGGCCAGTATACAGTCCTTCATACTTTAGGAGGCCCGGATTAGGGCCAGTGGGGATAGAAAATCTCCTTGCTCCAGTATAAGTGAGAATAAACATGGCCTCATGGTTGATGGTCAGTAGGAGGAGTAGTGCCCCATCATTGGTGTCAGTGGGAAGAATATACCATCGCTAGTTTCAATGGAAGAAGTGCTGCTCCATTGTTGGTCTCACTGGGAAGAATAGTGCCCCATGGGCCGGATAAAGGGTAGCAAAGGGCCATATCTGGCCCTTGGGCCGCAGTTTGGAGACCCTTGTGTTAGAGAGTCAGTAGGCAGCCCAGGGAGTTAGGTAAGAGTTAAAGTGTCACTAAACCCACATCATAAAAAAAAATATCAATAAATGCTGTATTGCATGCTGTTCAAACTCACTCAGTCACTATAGGATCCATTTTCTGAATTCTGAAAAAAAACTGGTTGATCCTGTTCCTCTCTATCTCCACCTTCTGTTCATGTCCCCAGTGCAGTTGGGGATTTTGCTGCTGTACAGGCAGCTCTGCACATGCTCAGTTTTCAGTGAGTTTCTATGCTGAGCATTTCCTTCCTATCACAACTGAGCAGCCCATGTGACTATAGAGTCACACATGTGGGTGTATACACAGTGGTATTTGACAGCCCACTTCATCCCTCCTCCGCCATTCCCACTAACCAGCTAAACACAATAAGGAGTGGAATATTACATCTTGATTGATGGAGGATTCCCCTCCCTGTTATTCTAAGACACAGCCTGGAGGGATGTAACACAGCCTAGGACTGGCAGAAATCCACTAATACTATGGTATTTCCATAAAATAACAAAGATTTGATTTCAAATACATATTTGAATGACAATTTAGAACAGTTCCTGCTTATGTTTCCCTGCAGACAGTTTGGGAAAGAGCTGGGTCGTGTGACAGCTGTATATATTGTTTAGGAAAAAGGTACTTAGACGTTTTTTTAATTAAAATTATTTCAGTGCCATCATCCACATTGAAAAGTGTGTGTTTAATATCCCTTTAAGGCTTCTAAATCCCATTTGTTAATGGATCTGCCCCCTTGTGGTGAGCTGTAAATATAAGGGGAGGCTGCCTTTCTGGGCTATCCTTGTGTGGGAAGATCATAGATTGGAACTGCTGCATAATGTGATGTCTGTCAGGGGTTTCTCCCCCTTGAAAGGGTTCCCAGTCGGGGAGCTGAAGAGAGTGAAGGACCTATGGACTTTGCACTACTTTGAGGTATGAGTTGGGCAGCCTGGATGGGAAAGAGAGATAGAGTGAGGAGGAATTAACTGCGAGCGACTGTGCCACATTAATTCTGTGTTTGGAATAAGCCTAAGTAAATGTTTTCAAAGTTACAAAATGTTGGTCCTACAAAGAGGTTGCATTCAAGGTGTATAAAAGAACAGGGCTTATTTTGGGGGATGAGCACTGTCAGAGGTTCACCAGTGGAGAATGCTGCAAGTGGAAGATCTGATTGCCATTGCCACGGGTAACTAATGGAGTGTTTGGTGCTATAGCTGTACAGTGTGACTTAGCAGGGATGATGACACGCATTAGTAGCATGGGGGGGAGCTGTAAGAGCAATCCCCCTCCCTAGTGGCCAGTGCCCAATACCTGGGACCAGAACTGCAGCACGGAACCCCCATGTATCTAGCCTGTATGTCACTGGAAAGTGTATGAGAGAGGATCCTCAGAAATACAGAGCCTCAGCAAGCTTATGTTTCATGCTAATGATAAATCTCAAGTATGAGAGTGGCATCAAAGCTAGGCTTGGATTGTGGTATACAGGCTCCATGGCATCCCTTCCAAAGTGCTGCACCATGTAAGGAAGGCTGTGTAGAGTTAGTCATGTGCAACACCACTGTGAAGTGGATGAGACTCGAAGAGTTAATTGTGCTAGGACATGTGCTTGCTTCTGTTGGAGTGCCGCCTTAATGCAGTTTTCTCATGACTGCAGCCTCTGCCTGCTTAGTTGGGCATTAGAGAACAGATTTTGGATTTTCCCTTTAGATTGCCTTAAGCCCTACTCAAAGGCAAGTCCTGGAATCCAGTAATAGCTGGATCACCATGCAATGTCTGAATATAGGATGCTGCATACACAAGACCAGCCCACTCTAAGTGTAAAGGAGCTGCTTCAGCCTTTCTTCTCCTAGGCCACACCAATTTGACGCATTTCACCCTTCCAGAGGTCTTAATCATAGAGGACCTCTGCAATTAAGCCCTGTGGAAGGGTGAAATGCGTCAGAGGGGAGTGGCCTAGAAGACACTGAAGCCTCTCCTTTATCTTGAGGCTACATTTACACTGGTGATAAAGGCTGGTGGGAACTGTAGTGGCAGGAATATTGTGTTTACATCTGTGGATGAGAGTGGATAGGTGCAGATGCCAGCCCCATTCACTATAATGACAGGTCGCCAGTGGCTGCAGCTATGTACAGTTAGGTCCATAAATATTTGGACACAGGCACAATTTTAGTTTTTTTTTTTCAAGTATTTACCAAAACATATTCAATCTATAGTTATATCATGGATATGGGCTGAACGTGCACACTCTCAGTTTTAATTTGAGGGTATGTACATCCAAATTGGAGGAAGGGTTTAGGAATTACGCTCTTAAGACTGGCCATCCACCGTTTTTCAAGGGACCAAAAGTAATTGGACAATTGAATCAAAAGCTGTTTCATGGCCAGGTGTGGGCTACTCCTTCATTAGTTCTTCGTCAATTAGGGAGGTAAAAGGTCTGGAGTTGATTCTAAGTGTGGTATTTGCATTTGGAATCTATTGCTGTGAACCTGCATCATGTGTTCAAAGGAGCTATCCATGCAAGTGAAACAGGCCATTGTAAGGCTTCAAAAAGGAAGCAAATCCATCAGAGAGATAGTAGCAACATTAGGTGTGGCCAAATCAACAGATGCTAGTATTGCAATTGTTTTCCTTTTTACTGTTACATAATTACTTTAAAGTGGTATTAAACCAAAAAGCAAACATTTATTATATTGCAGCTTTCCATTTTTTAGATGTGATGGTTGCATTAGTTTTACTTTTTAGATGTTCTTTCTTTATTTCACCAGATAATCTGGCCAGTAAGTCTATTGTTTTTCAATAGATAAGTTCTCTTCAAGTGTAGCAGTTAAGAGTGTTGAAACAAACAATATACCACTGACAATGGTGCTTTCGATGAACAGTGATTATGTTTTATTGGGAAATCTTTATCCAAAAAGAAAAAAAACTGTTGCTGTAACTGCAGTGTGAACTTGAGTTTGGTTTCAATTTGTTATTGTATCTAAATTTGCTAGTACATCTGAAGTATCACTCCCCCCAGATTATCAGTGCTGCTGGCTGCTGTGCCCCTGTGCTTCTTCATCTAGAATCGAGGCACCCTAATACAGGAGGTGTGTTAGAGGCCAGATCACTAGGTAAAAAACAGATGTAACAAGGAGGGCATGAGGGAAAAGAGCCTAAAAAAAGGTACCTAATGCAGCCACCACATCTAAGGACTGGTAAGCTTCAATATATTACATTTTTGGTTTGGGGTTAAGCATTGTTTTAGGTTACAGAAGTGATAACATACAAACATGACAGTTTCAGTGCTTCTCACCCTCAGAGTTGTTCTCATTATGATTATATCTTTAGGAATAATTAATAAAACATATAAACAAGGAAATGTTCTCTTTTTACATCCAATTGGTATGTTTCAAAGTATTTTAAAGAATATTGCTAGATGTGTCTTCCTAATGACATTTTTCATTCCTTATGTATTTTCCAGAATAATTTGTATGTTCTCGATGCCTCTTAAAGGAACTAAACAGGATGACAATCAATGGGTCTCTAGTTTCTGAATTTATTATCCTAGGCTTGTCCACTTGTCCAGAGCTGGAAACACTTACATTTATCCTATGTCTCATGTCTTATACTGTGGGTTTGACTGGCAATGTAATTATTCTTTTCCTAACCATTATAGACCCAGGTCTGAACAAACCTATGTATTTCTTTCTGGGACTGTTGTCATTTCTTGATATATGGTGTACCTCTGCTACAATACCCAAGATGCTTTCGAGCTACGTGACACAGTCTAAGGTGATTTCTTATTACGGATGTGTTTTCCAGATGCTTTTCTTGACCTGGCCTTTGGGAGTTGAGTTACTTCTCCTTACAGTTATGGCTTACGACCGATATATTGCAATTGGAAATCCACTTCGCTATGCATCAATAATTAATCGCAGAGTATGTATTAAGACTACAATTACTATCTTGGTTATTGGCCTAATTAATTCTTTGATTCACACATATTTCACTTTCCGACTCCCATACTGTGATGACAATAGAATTAATCACTTTTTCTGTGAGATAATGCCTTTGCTGAAACTGGCCTGTGCAGATATTTATATCAACGAGATTGTTGTCTATACATCTGATTTTATGTTTGGTATTTGTTGTTTCCTACTTATATGTGTTTCCTATGTCTTTATACTGAAAACTATACTAAAGATTCGTTCTGCTGAAGGCAAGCGTAAAGCCTTTTCTACATGTGCCTCTCATATTGTAATTGTTTCTATGTTTTATGGAGCTGTCATTTCCACCTATATTCAACCAAAGAACAGTCCTTTAGAGAGAAGCAAAACAATATCTGCTATATATGCTATTGTTACACCTTCCCTAAATCCTATTATTTATAGTCTGCGGAATAAAGAAGTTAAAGAGGCATTTAGAAGAAATGTTAAGAGGCTAATGTGAATTCATTGTATGGTGCACCTCTGCTACAATACCCAAGATGCTTTCAAGTTATGTAACACAGTCTAAGGTGGTTTCTTACTATAGATGTGATTTCCAGATGCTCTTCTTGACCTGGCCTATGGGAGTCGAGCAACTTCTTCTTCCAGTTATGGATTACGACTGATACATTGCAATTGGAAATCTAGTTCGCTATGCATCAATATTTAACCTCAGAGTATGTATTAAGACTACAATCACTTTTTCAATTATTGGCCTAATGAATTCTTTGATCCACATGTATTGCCCTTTCCGACTCCCATACTGTGATGACAATAGGATTATTCACTTCTTCTGGGCGATAATGCCTTTGCTGAAAATGGCATGTGCTGATATTTATATCAATGAGATTGTTGTCTATACATCTGATTTTATGTTTGGTATTTGTTCTTTCCTACTTATACGTGTTTACTATGTCTTTATGTCCTTACAAGTATACTGAAGTATTCTGCAAAAGGCAAGCGTAAAGCCTTTTCTACATGTGCCTCTCATCTTGTAATTGTTTCTATGTTTTAGGCTTCATGCACACTAGAAAAGCTAAAAACTGCTTTAGAAACGCTGGACAAAAACCGCTAATGTTTTAGTGCTTTTTATGCCAGGGTTTAGCATAGTGTTTTTATGCATAGTGTTTTATGCCAGGGTTTAGTGTTCATCCTAGTGTGTAAGCTACATTTAGTAGCTTCAGCATTAAGGAGTGGGGCCACAGCATCCTTAACCATTTCACCCCAACGGTACACATATATGCGGCCTCTTGGCGGCTGAGCCTTTGCGCAGATTTGCGTACCATTTGTAAACAAACGTGCTGAGAGTGAGCACCCTGCACATGTGACGGCATACCATGGAAAGGTCCCGATCTCTCCTTGCGATCGGGACCTTTCTGATCATGTGACTGCCGTGACAGCCAATCACAGTCACATGCAAGAGATGGTTACAGATTGTGTAGGAGAGGAGATTCCCAGTGAGCGGCTCTCCCATGGCACCTACCTATCCAGTCCTCCTGGCTGTGTGCTGAAGATTCATAAAAAGGCACCAAGTGGGTATCGCTGGTACCATGATTTTTCTCATCATTCATGACCAAGGAATTTTTTACTATTCAGCAATGTGCTAATATAACTGGAGATTGCTTGGTCATGCAACACTTTACCGAAATTAAATTTTTATAAATGTTTTCACTTAAATAGAACTTTCTTTTGGTAGTATTTAATCACCACTGTTTTTTTTATTTTTTGCCACCCTAATTGGTGTATATTATTTAGTCTGTGTGAAAGTCTACAAACTATGATATATACAGTATATTTGAATATTGATCAATCCTGATGTACTGAAGGCCTATTTAATTTCTCGAGACCTTAAAATGCCAGGACAGTACATATACCCCCCCAAATTACCCCTTTTTGGAATGTAGACAGTCCAAGGTGTTTAGTAAGAGGCATGGAGAATTTTCTGAAGATGTAATTTTTTGTCATAATTTTTTGAAAATGAAGCAACTAAATAAAATGTTTTTTTTTTTCACAATTTCTTTACATACAGTTAGCAGTGCAGTACCACGTCATCATATGACTGGCCTGGGGGTGATCAGTGACAGTATGTAAAAAGACATTTTTTTTTAATTACGTTTTTATTCAGTCTTTTAAACTATTTGTCCTTTTTTAACATTTTACTTTTTTTACTGTTTTTTTACATACTTTCATCAGAGTAGTTCAGTGTCACCATAGTGTAGTCTTCGGGGGGATCAGGATTTTGTTTTTCTTTACAGTGATTGCAGTTACAGTACACTTTAACAGCAATCGCATAAACTGTCATGAATGGGTTTCATTCATAACAGGTGTGCTTATTGTTAACCTACTGTGATTGGCTACAGCTAATGATGTGGTACAGGGTGCCAGGTACCATATGATAGCTGTGGGCCAATCACAACATCATTAAAGTAATCACAACTATTATGAAAGAAACTCATCTATAACAGTTGTGTATACATCTGTTGTGATCATGTGATCTCACAGTCCGCTCAAAACGGCCAGGTGCCATAATCCTTTGTGTCCGGTGGAAACAGCAGTTACAGGAGCAGCGTGCCAGTGTACATGTATGAAGAAACATATATTTACTTTGTTGTGCCCGGCCTTGCCACTTTCCCACAATAAAAGTAATGTGGGCAGTCCTAAAGTAGTTAACTAAATTGATGGGCTGTAAATGCTTTTCAAGTGTCACTGGAAAATTTGGGTACCGCAGTTTTCACCATTGTGCAGCCACACGCAATTTTTTGGTTTGACAGATTTGGTATCTGGTTTTTTAACACAATCTATATTGTTTGTGTGCACTAAAATTAACTTATTTTTCTAAATATAGAGTTTTGATAAACAGTGGGGCTAATATTGTGTGACATACAGTATAATTGCAGGATGCTGATAACAAGACATTGTAATGAACCAATACCTTATAGCTTTAAAAAAAAATATTAAAAACATTTTCCATAAGGAATTGCAAAAAAACAATGGTGACGTGCAAATGCTGTTATTACTGCATCTGAAATCTTATTGATTGCTATGAGCTATAACATTGTTACTTTTGATTGCTTTATTGAAATAACCCATTCCTTTTCTTTTAAGCTAGATGTGCTTTGTAGTATGAACATAGCATTTGCATATCCAACACCATAACAATATATTTACAAAATAAAGCAGTAAAGAATAAAATAGGCCCTCTTATTGCCATAAAGCAGTTCATTTCAACCTAGATCACTTATTTACTTCTGGGACTTAAGTCTGATCCCTGGGCTTACTTTTTGCATTCTTAATTTGACCTGGGAGCATTAATTACATTTTGACATGCAATTAAAATTCTTTGTTTCCACTTGACACCTAAGACATAAACCTTTAAATTCCAGCCTAAAATTTCAGTCATTTTGCTGAGAACCTCACATAGACTATATACTAAATACTCAACTTGCAATGTACAAATGGCTCTAGCCTATGCAGTGATTCATTCAATTGAATTTCATGTGCTAAGGTAAGGCCTACTGAAACCAATGGTATTCCAATTTAATTTACAAAGCTTAATTTTACTCCCAAAGAGTTTAAAAAAAATGTAATAAGTGCCAGGAAATTACAGAATGTAAATAGAATAAAATATAACACTGGGAAAACTGGGTAGGCAGCATTTCACAAATGGAGTATAATATAGCCTAAACTGCTACTTTAAATCCTTAAACCAGCTGAGGGCCACCAAGAAGGATTAGAGGTCTTCATTAGGGCCAAAAAACAGCATGACATGTTTGCTCTAGCTAAATTAGGTACAAACAGGAAATCCAAGCTGCCAACATATGGGGCAATACATGATATGTCAATTTGAGATGTTTTCTTAACTCTCCTCATTATACTCTTCTCCATAGATGATCTCCCATCAGAAAGCTATCTTTCATGGGAACAAAACTGAAGTTCAGTTCTTCTTTCTGCTTGGCTTCCCAGGCACTGCTCAGGTACAGCTGTTTTATTTCGCAATATTTTTTGTCATATATATACTAACGGTGGTGGCCAATTGTCTCATAATTACCATGGTCTGCTTCAATTCTCATCTTCGCATCCCCATGTATTTCTTCCTCAGCAACTTGTCTGTGCTGGATACCTGGGGTTCATCTGTTCTCGTTCCTAAAACACTCAGCTATTTGATAACACAGGATAAGCGTATTTCCCATTCTGGTTGCCTTGCTTAACTTTGCTTTGCGTTCTCTGTGGGACCTACTGAATTCTTCTTACTCACACTTATGGCCTATGATAGATATCTAGCCATCTGTTTTCCATTACAGTATGCAACAATGATGAACAGTCAGATCTGCAATTACTTAGCTGTAGGTTCATGGATGAGTGGTTTCTTTACTGGTTGGTCATTAACTATTCCAACCGCTCTGCTAAACTTTTGTGGACCCAATTTAATTGATCATTTTTTCTGTGATTATATCCCTCTGGTGAAACTGTCTTGTTCTGATACATCCACCAGTGAGACAGTCTTCTTTTCATTTGCATGGGTAGTTGTGCTAAGCTCACTTACTTTTACAACAATATCTTATTCCAGTATAATTAAAAGCATTCTTCGCATTCCATCCAGCCTTGGTCGTCAGAAGGCCTTTTCTACTTGTGCTGCTCATTTAACTGTGGTCATTGTTTTATATGGAACTGTTATCTTCATGTATGTTCGCCCAAGTGCTTCCAACTTTTCTGATAAATATAAATTTGTATCTCTGTTTTATTCTGTTATAATACCGCTTTTAAATCCTCTTATATACAGTCTTAGAAATCAAGAAATTAAAAAGGCATTGAAAAATGTTCAAGAAAAACTCTACAAATCAATTTACATTTAGGATAAATGGCCCAAACTTGGCATGCCTAATAATGCTTAATAAAAAAATAAAAATCTTCTGTTCCTGAAGTCATTTTCTAGTCTAGCCCCTCCTAGTTTCCCATTACTGATGTATTACTGTGATGTTCATTACCACTGACCGATGTGCAGAAGGTTGAATTGGATAAACCAGATATTAATTGCATAAGTCAGTATCACCATAAATGAGTGCCCAGGTGTTTAAGGATCCTGCGGTGCTAACAGTGCATACAAACACTTTTCCTAGAGTACAACTCTAGTAGCAGTTTCCTGAGTTTACTCTGACCACAGGTATCATTTTATCCAAAAGGAAAATTCAGGCACGGTGTGAAAAAGGACAGCCTTTACTGTGCCACCCAAATT